CCACCTCCCCCCATCACTCCTTGGCCCATGTCTTGGCCCCTGGTTGGTGCCTGCATCACACCATGAGCTGCCATTTGGCAAGAGCTGTCTGCTGGCAAAGAGGAGGGGGGGGGGGGGGGGGGTGCGGGCNCCACCTCCCCCCATCACTCCTTGGCCCATGTCTTGGCCCCTGGTTGGTGCCTGCATCACACCATGAGCTGCCATTTGGCAAGAGCTGTCTGCTGGCAAAGAGGGGGGGGGGTCATAGTATGTGTGAGTGTGTGTGCATTTGTGACGCGGGGGGTGAGTTGCTGGGTAGAAACCACTCGACTCTTGCACATGAGTGCCTGATGTAGTAGCAGCTTCACATGTCGTGTCGGGGGTTACCCCCTTTCCCTCCCTCCCTCCTCCTCCTCCTCCTCCTCCACTCTTCCTCTCTCATCCCTTCCCTCGTTCCCTCTCTTCTCAGCCAGACGTGCAGAATCTGAGCTCATTCACTCTTTTAACTCTCCGTCTCGTCTGGCGTCGCCTCGCTCCTGCTATCCTCGGCACGCAACTCTCGCTGAGGGGCTCACCCCTGTGTTTCGCCGAGTGTCTGCCGCACATCAAAACCGCCTCACCCTCTCTACCTGCCTGTCTGACAGACATCTACTCACTCACACACAAACACACAGCGCATCTCTCATGTAACCCAGCCTGAGCTGAGTTCAGGGTTTCATTGAAGAAAATCTCTCCTGAGGCATCTGAGGAGGGGTGTGTGCAAGCGTGCGTGAATGTACGTGCTACACAGGGGAGGGGAGGTTAGGGTGGAAACCCTGCTGTAACTGTAACAACAACAACAACAACAACAACAACAATAACAACATCGTGAGCAACAAGGAAACCCAAGAAAAGAAAAACAACATTCTTGGCGTGCCACGGCTCGACACTTTTATAGACCCAGAGAGACATTTTGCATCAATCTGAAGCAGCTTTATATGGAGGGAGGAATTCTTCTGAGTCACGTATTGCGCTGATCCCTCTGTTATGAGCTGTGGGATGGAATGCCATCATTAAGTTTTTTTTTTTAAATCTTGAGCGCGAAAGGAAGCAGACGCCAAAAAGCCTCCTGCTGTTTGTGATCAAAGTGTTCGTGCAAGTCTAGATTTCTTGAATCTTATTCATGCAGTTGCTGTCTTATTATTTCATTTTGGGACATGTTTTCTTCATCACTGATCAGTCTTAAACACTCTTTGCGCTCAGTTTATTTATTCATGAATTTAATTTACCTTTGCCAGTTAATTACTTGAGTGTAATTTCAGCATTGGGATGACTCGGGTGTTTCAGGAATAAACACCACATGGCAATCAGCCATATAGTAACAGCCAGCGCTGATGCAAGACTCGGCATCCAATCAACACGACGGCATGGGGAATACACCCAGGGCCCCGTGTTATGACTGGCGCTCGGGTGAGGTGAGGGGGGGTCTTGCCTTAGGCTGCGCCCACGCCGCGACCCCACAGATGCCACGGTAGCGGTCACCGGCGTCCACGAAGGGGACGAGACGCCCCCCCGGTGCTCTCGACCTCGTCTTAACCCAGGATTGGCTGCGACGTTATCTGCCCCCGCTGCGTTAGTGGTGGGCTTTGGGGGAACTGGGAAAAAGGGGGCTTTCGCTGGCAAGTCTTCCCCCTGTAGCCGTGGTAACAGCGTCAGCAGCACGTGACCGGGTGTAAGTGAAAGTGTATGATGGGCGGATATGGTGGGGGTGGCGGTAGTCTGGGGCTGAATAAAGGGTTAAGCATGCATGAGTAGGAGCAAAGTAGGCCACAACAATAAGGGGGAGGAGGGGAGCCGTGCACTTTCACTGTACAACAGGATTAAGGCATATGTGTGCGCGTGTGTGCGTGTGTGTGTGTATGGGGGGGGGTGGGGGGGTCGTGGGTAGGTGGAGGGATGTTGTTTTGGGGCAAACGCTCAGCCAGGCTCCCCTCAGGAGGTGGAGGGGTATCAGGGGTTTCAGGATGGATGTCGAGTCAAAGGTCGACTCCTGCTCCTCCTTACTGGAAATAATTAGCTTTTACTGCACTGTAACCCATGACGCACACACACACAGACACACACACACACACACACACACACATAAACACACACACGCACGTTGACACAAAAAGATTGCTTCTCCAATTCAAAACCCCCTGGAGTTGTTACAGTCACCGCTTATGTAATAGGGTTGAATGAACAAAACAAAAACAAGCCACAGTATCATTAGTTCATAGAATGAAAAACAGGCCAAGATATGCCTCTCTCTCTCTCTCTCTCTCTCTCACACACACACACACACACACACACACACACACACACACACACACACACGCACACACACACACACACACACGCAGCCAAAACCAGACACACACTGTCTGACTTCTAGACACAGTGTGGTGGGGTCAGCCTGTGCCGTAAGCGGTACTGTCTGTTTAAGATAGGAAGGAAGCTGAGCACACACACACACACACACACGCACATACACATTTCCCAGCTGTGTGCTGCGATTTCTATCTGCTCGGACGCACCCTTTAAAAACACATACGCGCCCGTAAACACACTCCCACTCGCTCGTACACAAACCCACACACATTGTACCAAAAACATTCTCCACTAGTGCGATCTAGGCTCACCCTCACACTCGTGCATCTTTGAATGCAGCACAATACAGTTGAATTGAAAATAAAAAAATATATATTCTCGTCTTCCAAAGCTGAAATTACAAGCACACAAAAATGCAACTAAAATACAATGATGGGAGTAAAAGTAATGACTTCCACTCCGGTAAATAAACACATCTTAGCCGGGATCTCTGTGTTCCCGACGTTGCAAGCTGTGTTTAGTGGAAACCCATGGCCCAGGTCTGCCACGGTAAGACAAACAGCCATGATGAGAGCGTGTGCAGTGCACTGGAAACACCATGATTAACACATGGCCTCAATCACGCATCCTGAATAGCATTTCATTCCCCGGCTCGCTCCTCCTTCGTGGGTCCGTCTCCCTTTACCCCGGTCGTATCTGTCTATTTCTATGTCTCTCTACCTCTCTCTCTAACGTACACACACACACACACGTGCATCTATCATTTCGCCTACACATACATACAGACAGACAGCATCTCACACAACAAGCTGAGTGGAACCACCCACACACGCAAGCGAGCAGACACCTACACGTGCTCACACAGTGACACAATCTCTTGTACCCCCCTGAATTTATACCAGGATCTTGTTAAAGCCATGGCAACCGCATCCTCCATCCACCAGTCTTCAATCCATCCGCATATATGTATGTGTGTGTGTGTGTATGAGACAGATGCAATCTACATTACACTGTCAGGGTTCGATTTTGGTGGCCTTGGTAACAGAGCTGAACATCAAATCTGGGTCACATTCATTTGACACAAAAGCGGAGATACTGTTCAAAGGTGGGAGGCGAGAACTCTTTCTGTGAGAGCGATACTTACATTTCGTGCTTCAGGAACTTTCAACTTTCTTCAATGGCTTTCAATTGAAACTCTTTTTGAAAATAGATCAAGATACATTTTGTGACTCAAGAAATCTGAATTTAAAAGAGTGTCGACTTGCTGAGGAGATACCCGTGTTGCAAAGACAATCGGCTGGTAACTCTCTTGAACATAAATCTTTCAGTGCCCCCCCCCCCCCCCGCGCCCGCCCCCCCAAGGCCATTTCACCTCTCCCATCACACACACACACACACACACACACACACACACACACACACATCCCACCACCAAAACAAATATACTTCCCACTGCCACCTCACCTGCAAAGCGCACTTCACCTCGTGCACTTTGGCGACCTTGAGAAAATTCCATTTCGGCACACACTCATCCTCATCAATCTCCTTGCCCCCGCCTCTGCCTACAAACCTTTAACCTTAAGTCCAACAACTCCAAGCTGCCTTGGAGCTCTCTCCATCATCCCACCTCCACAACCTCCCACCTCCCAGCCCCCGCCCCCCAGAGGAAGCGGATCCTACTCCAAACGAGCAAGCATTCCTCACAGGCTTCCAGGCGGCTTGGAAGTAGTTTAGTATCTCTCTTCCCTCTTTGGTGAAGTTTTGTTTTGCCTCTGCTGATGTAAGTTGTTGGGGTGAAGTTGTACATGTTTCTATCTCACCTAATATTAAGTTTTTAATCCATAGAAACCATCTAAAAATCTATTGTAATAAGTAAATGTCACTTCAGCCAAAGCCATGGAGGGTTTTCTCACAATGGATTTTAAAGCTACAAACTTAAAAAAACTAAAAGAAATTATAAATGATATTGTGAGGATTTGGTCAAAATAAAACAGCCAATCAGCATTATGTAAATGGAGATCCCTCAGATCCCTTGCTCCGTAGTCCCAGTAATGTTTCCTCACCTGTTTTGAAGATCTCGTAGCGCAGAGAGAAGCCCGCCCCCTGGTGGGCGTAGTCCGAGACGAACCGGATCTGGAGGGAGGGCCCGGATGAGATGATTGGTGCCGGGGCGATGTTGCTGCAGTGTCGACCCAGAATGTCAGCAGAGTCCGAAGTCCCGTCGCGGATCTCGATGAAGTCATACCTGACGGAGATGGAGATGATTTCCTGCTGTTACAAGCATCCTTCAGAACACGATCTTACATTGAGCTTAATGCAGCAGGAAGGGATTAAGCACAGTGAAAAGATAAAAGCAGAGCGGCAACGGGCAGATAAACATAGATTGATAGTTATGGGGGTTACGCAACAAGCTAAGCTAATAAAAACCAGACAGGTGTGGAGCTATTAACCATCAGAGTTCAGCCTCGGGACAGAATGCACAGTGTCCAAGCAAAGCATTTAGGAACACAACACAACATTAAGACACAAATAAATATATCTGCCACAGACTTGGCTCTCAGTCAAAGCATCTCCACCTTACTTGTACTGCTCCCCCTCAGCTGCATTCAATATCAATAAATTTAGCTCTCACAAGCCATTTCAGCTGGGGACAACAAACTCGGATTTCACCGACATCAGCTCTGGGCGAGCGAGCCCCCAAAATCATTGAATATCTTTGATCCCAGGGAGGAGAATGGAAGGGAGGGCTGTGTTTTAAAACTGAACATACTTGAGCAAATGACTGCAACCTGAGGGAGAAGATGCACGCAAACAAGACAGCTGGATGGACTCATTAATAAGAAGTGTAAAAATAGACAGAGAGGCTCATGAAAAAATAAAGAGGAGAGGAAGGTGAGGACGTTAGCAGGGTAGGGGGTGAGGTGGTGGTGGTGGTGGTGGTGGTGGGGGGGCAGATTAGGGAGAGAAATTGGGATAAATAAATGTAAAGATGCCTCGCTTTTTAACTTCCACATGCCTGAGCTCTCAGCTTAAACTTTGACTAGCCAGCTGACCCTGAGCTGTAAAAGCAAATACTTAACTGTCAGGTCAGTGTGTGTGTGTGTGTGTGTGTGTGTGTGTGTGTGTGTGTGTGTGTGTGTGTGGGCGTTTTTATGAGTGTGTGTGTGAGAGAGAGTGGGAAAGACAAAGAGGGAGGGAGAGAGAGAGAGAGAGCCCACCTGGCTGATCCAGAATTAGCTCATAGCCCTGTGTGTCATTCCTCCAACATTATGAGACACATGCCGAGTCACAGGCGGCACACTTAACTGTCTTCGGAGGATGTTTGATTTAGTCCTTTTGGAACACCACATGGGTGGGGTTTTTATAACATCGGGACAAGTTTTTCCAAATTTGTACTTCTTTTCTTACAATTCATCTTCCACACTCAGAAAATGACATCAGTGACAACAAGTCCAGGCCTTCGTGCCCGTATACAGCACAGAATAAGAGAGAAAGAGAGAGACTAAGTGGGAATAAACGCTGCAGTGAAGTGCAGCGTGAGCCTCGATGAGCACAGTAAATTGTTTTATCTTTGAGTTAAAGGACTATCAGTATGTTTAAATGCCTTACAGAGAAAGTCCCACTTCTTCCATCTGTGGCCTCAGACGTGTGCTGCACAGCGAAAACTGTCATTTGCTGTAAAACACGGTCCTTCTATGCATTGCCTCCTATAAATGACACCATAGCTTTGTTGATGTGATTAAACGGGGGACCAGCCCACGCTTGTGAGCTGAGAGCGAACCACCTGCTTATGAAGTAATAATTCTTGGGTTGTGACAATATTAGAGGTTGTGGAAAGCTCCATACTTTGTGTTTGCTGCCTCCTCAGTGGTTAAGTGCTGTTTTCAGTCAGTTAGACAGAATTGTTCTTGACTAATTTTTCTTCCAGACTTCAATCTCTTTTCGTGAGCTTGCTTTTTTTGTGTGGCGTTTGTATTTTCCACTAAATATTCATGTCGCCACGTTTCAAGTTGCGCAACTGTGACTAATTTCCGTGTGTAATTTCGGTCTCCATAACGCCCATCCCCGTTCCTCTTCCTCGTCACAGCGCAAACAACTGTCTCTTCATATTGTGATTCCCTGCATAACTAACTGCATCGCCACGGGAGCCTGTGCCAGCCACGTTGAGGACACCCTCCCAAGATCTACACACACAAACACACTTGTCTCAATTAGTTCATATGACGACGCCGTCAAAAAACCCCCCAAAAAAAACACACACACCAGGGCCGCTGTTGTCCCGCTAATTACTGTGATGGGCTCTTTGATGCTGAAAAGACATCACAGACGCCACTTTTAAACGCAGCCTCTTTGCTAATGTTCTTTTCTCACTACTTCCCCAAAATGAAAAGTATTCACTAAAAGCTGAGAGGTACCAATCAGCACTAAGCTGTGTTTCTCCGTGGCATCTAAGCACTTGAGACTGCTTCCGTACGGCAGCTTGGAATAAAACCTGGATTAAGTAGAGTCACTAAGCCTCTTTTTTTTCGGCTATCTCATTCCTTCCCATACAGAGCATTCAAACTAAGACTGCTGATGGAGGGATAATCTCAGCCACATTAATCTGGGTTAGAATGGCTCACGTAAAAAAAAAAAAAGGTGAGGATCAAAGTGTGAAAATGCTGCAGTGGAGCTTGTAATGTCACCGCAACACTCGCCTGATGACAACGTATGGGAAGAGGTGCGTTTCATTAAACTAAAAAAATAAAAGATTATGAGATTACACAACAGCAAAGTAATGCTATTGTGAAACTGAGATAAAGCGGTTTGGGCTTCAGATAGATATTTAAGTCAACTTAACTCATCATTTTAATTAACATAATACATACTGTGTTTTCTGCAGAGCTGGAGGTTTGTCAAATCAGAGAAAATAACAACATCCCTGCAGGAATCTCTGCATGAGTTCTTTGGGGCTGCATTTTGAAGGGAAAGCCCTAGCGTGTGGAAGTTCGGATACAAAAAGGTGTTTACCAGGCAAGGAGGGTCTAACAAATGGTGCTATTGAATTGGATTATTGCAGGACTGAAGATTCACCCACACTCAGGACTAAAAGTCGGGACATCTCTGCCTCTGCACTATTGATTATTCGGCCCATCCCGTCTCTCGGCCTGTCATCTTTACCCCACTAACTTTTATGGAAGTGCGGTTAGTAGTGAGCCATTTACCAATACACGGTATTCTCTGTGGCCCCAGCAACAAACAACATGTGCAAATTATTCAAAAACAGATGTGAATCCTCATCTGGAGGGAGTGTGTGTGTGCTGAAAAAAGGAGGCATTTCAGTCTCCTTACACATCCCTTCAGTTAAAGTAGTGGATGGTTGGGGCTGAAGGAAATCTGTGCAAAAGTGGGCCGGAGGAGCACTTGCGTCCAATTCTCTTATACATGTCTTGTGTTGTAATCCTGCATTACAGAGGCGATCGTGAAGGGCTTTAGTGGCGAGCTCCCACGGTGAGCCTGTAAGAGCCACGGCTATCCCTAAGTACGCCTGCTTAGGGCTGAAACTGACACATGCCCAGGGAAAACACACACTCAAACAAGTGCCAACAAACACACACACACACACACACAGATAGACGGACATGGACACACACACACAAAGATATAGGCAAACACCGGCGTGCGCATACACACTCGGCGCTGTATCGCCAACACCAAGCATAAAAGGCCCGCGAAAGAGCTGAGAGCCTAATTAGGTTTTAATTGATTTTGGAGTGGGTCTCTATCCTTCTCTCTCTCTCTCTCTCTCTCCCCCTCTCTCTCTTTCTGTCTTGCTCTCTCCTGTCATGGATTAGCGTCAGTGAGCGAGTGTTCCTCAGATGTGATTATTGACCTGTTCGCTCAGCCTCTCCCCAGGCTCTGATGAATACATGCATGAGGGCCTGACGTGTGAGAGCCCACTGTCTGTCTCTCTCCAACACACACACACACACACACGCACACACACACATAAGCACATTCCAGGACATTGCACACACACATAACACACATAAATCACTTGCACACACACAAACCCGCTCCCATGAAGACACACATTAGCGACGCATACCACTCACACACACACACACACACACACACACACACACACACACACACACACACACACACACACACACACACACCCATCACCATCCAGATCTAAATTCCATTAGGAGTTGTTTTGATCCAGACCCCGCCTCTGTCTGACACCATCCATTCCCCATTCCCAGCTTTCTGTCTGTCTGGCAGTCTGTCTGGGTCTGCATGACCGACCCTGTGTTTAGGGAGCCATTATGGGACACCAGCCCACCCCACCTCCTCCTCCTCCTCCTCCTTATTCCCCCCATAGAGAATAAACTGGAACAGAGGGAGAGGGGTTAAGGAAACTAAAAACCCTTGAGGGCCAGAAATTCTGCACCAGTCCAGACATGTCCTCTCTCCCTCTACTCTCATATATCACTCCGCCCCCTCCGCCAAAGCAACTAATTGCCTTTCACACCTTCGCTGTTTGTCATGGACGAGGGGACACTTCCTGCAGGCGTTGGCACCTCGCCACGGAGAGACATAACTGTATGTATACGGCGTTTAGATGCATATTCATAGGGCCTCTCATCTCGCCTTCAGTGCTCCACTACTGGTCACTCACGACCTACTTCTGTTATCTTTGGACGACCCATCTGTTTAGAAAGTAGCTTGAGATGTCGCGTTTTAATTGAGTGTAATCGCAGTGCCTACAATAACACATGAAGATTTCATTGGGAGCGTGGAAATTACACAAAAAATTAACACATAATTTGCTGCGGGTGCGTCGTGGTCGTCTGATTTATTTTGTTTACGCTGATAAAAGAGCAACAGCTGTTCTCGAATGTCAGGAAACCAAACTTGGCTCTCCCCAAGACACTCTGGGCTTTCAGTTGAAATGATTTTCCTCTCTGCTCCGTTGCGTCCCCCCCATCCGACACCCCCCCCCCTTCCCGTTTTCCACTGTCAGAGAACAGAAACCCACAAGATCCCGATCCAGGAGACGATGAAGAACCGTCTGTTGCTCATCTCTTCTCACACAAGGCGGACGGGGGCACAGCCGACACACACCCACATACTCATGCATCTGCATACACACATGCTATCACCCACTCCTCCCGCCCTCGGAGGGGACTCTAATAAACCATAAGTGCCTCTGAAATATTAACTAGATCCTGCGAGCAAAATCCCTGCAGATCCACGGAGCCTGCCATCTTCAATCTAGCCCAAAAAAACAAATAGCACTCCTCTTCCTCCTCTCCTCCTGCCTCACCTCCTGCCCCCCCCCCCCCCCCCCCCCCCCCCCCCCCCCCCCGCTGTCCATCACAGATTCATACTTACAGATGACTGGGGGCCAAACCACTGACCACAGGCAGTCTGGGCTCGGCCCCGGCCCTTCCAGCGCCGCATCGATCTGAAACTTCAGACTATAACTGCTGTCTGAGCCGAGGCCGTAACACCCCCCCTAGCTGCCACCGCTCGTTCCTCCCCACGCCTTTGTAATAAAACGTCCGGAACTATTCATCAGTAAGAGAGCCCTGCTGGGATGCCACTTTAACTTACCTTCATTGACACACAGTTTGCGTTCAAGCGGAGAATCGAGACTCGTGCACATGTTTGTGGACCGGGAAACGCTCACACAGAGAGACTGCTGCATGACGCTAAATTAATCATAAAGCTTCGATGCATCGCTCACGCCTCAGTGTCTCTGCGGTGGACGAGAGCAACTGATCACAGAGAAGCCTGGTGTCGACGCTCACCTGCACCTGTTAGTTATTATATCATCATTACAGCACTGGCAGCTGTAATAGTCCAGACCGCCGGACGCTGATGACCATGATCTTGTCCTAAACGCCGGCAAAGTGCCAGATATTGACAGATCAGAACCGGAACAACTCCCTTTAGCCATGACCTCTGGCAGCTCATCTGTCTCCCCTTTCATCCTCAACCATCACCCTCCTCCTCCTCTTCCTCCCCTCCTCTCTCCCCCTCCGGCCACTGCTGATCATTTATCGATTTCCCATTATAAGCGGGATACGGACATTGATCCCACACCTCTCTGCTCCCCCCTTTGGGGATTGGTAAGAGGCTGATATCATGCGCACACACACACACACACACACACAAAGAGTTGTTGCTATGTGTTGGTGACGCCTCTCACTGTGACAGGGCATGTCACAGGCCACACCACTTTGTGCGTGTGTGTGTGTGTGTGTCTTGCGAGTGTGTGTGTAAAGTTATAAAGTTATATCATCAAATCTTCTCACCTCAGGCTGCGTTCAATAACAAATAACCAAATAAAAATGAGAAAATAAAACCCACAGAGGTGGAAGAAATGGATCTTCCTGAATGACTACAGTTTTATGGTGTGTGTGTGTGTTTGTGTGTGTGTGTGTGTGTGTGTGTGCACGCACGCTGTCTATATGTGATTCTTCCTGTTTCAATGTTTAATTTAAGTGTGTAAAAATAAAACACTTCCTCCTCCGGCTAGAGGAGAGGGAGAATGAAAGAACAAAGAGAGGGGAAAGAGATGGATCAAGAAAAGGGAGGAAGGAAGATGAAGCAAAAGAGAAAGAGAGCTGAAGAAAAACAAAACGGAAGAGAGAGGGAGAAGCATCTCCACTTCTCTCTCTCTCTCTCTCTCTCTCCTCAGCTCCTGGTATATCACTAGGTAGCATCCTGGGGCTTGGTGATGGCAGATTGCATTAGAGATATGGGCCTGATATTTCATCTAGCCTTTATTACATTTAGTTCACATCAATCGGCTGGCAGCCTGGAGGTAAGAGCTATTTGGCACACGGCCGGACCCCCCCCCCCCCGAAATGAAATCCTGAATTAAAGTGCCACCTCAGACATGGAGCGCCTGCATAAGGCTGCGGATTTGATTGCTGCAGTAGAGCCGCGGTTTGGCTGCGTTACACCATCCGAGTACTGACTGTTTGAACCCACTGAGGGAAAATCACCAGCTGGCCTGGGATATTAGCCAGAGTTCAGACCCCTTGCCTGGGCTGACCAAGCACTTTTCTTGGTTTTATAAGTGCCTAAAGTGCCCAAGGGAGGTCATGATGGCTGATGAGCACTCTTACACCGACGGGTTGCATGCCTAAGTGTGTACGTGCATGTGTCTTCAAGCGTATCCACTGAAAACATATGTCCATTTAGAGCCTTTATGACCGTGTTATCGTCTCGATATTTTTTTCTTCCTCGGTGCGTTTCAGCGATCAGCAGTCTAGACCACAAAGCTCTGCGTCTTTCAGGTAACGCGCAGCTTCGGTTTTTCTCTGCCGCCGTCTCTGTAATCCCAGCTGTCACGCAGATTTTCAACCCTGACCGAGATGGAGAGCCCTCCACCTCTGCAGCCCTCCGGCTCCCCTCGCCCTAACCTCGCGGAGGAGCGTGAAAACATGCAAAAATCTACTCTCTGCTCACTCCCTCACACTGCCGTGCCTAATCATACAGGCGAAAAAAAAAAGGAAGCAAGGAAGCAACCCTTAACAGCACTACAGGGCTTGGATCAATCTGGGTAAAAAGCATAACACAGGATGGAGAGAGCAGGAATATCGAGCCATACTTTGGCTTTTTGCTCTTATTTCTGTTGCGTTTCCGTCACCCTAAAGGGAAATGCTTCCTCAGTGAAACACTGAAGGGCAAACACATTAGGTTTAGAGGTTATGCATAAACAAATGTTGGCGTGATCCCCTATTCCTCTCACGGGCCTTTAAAATGGGGGTAATCACTCGGAGGCAGGGCGGATAGATAGATGGATGGAGGGAAGACGGAAGCAGCTAGTCTTACAAATCAACACTGGCGTAAATGCTTGCAGAGTTACTCACATGTAGACGCCTTTCCCCACCCACGCTCACTGACTCTCTCTCTCTCTCTCACACACACACACACACACACACACCACAACCCATCACCACACACACACACACATACATACATATAGGATGAAGGGAGATTGAGTGGGAGTATGTGTTAGAGGGCAGGCCAAGGCCTTGGTACCTCCAGGCGAGAGTGAAGAAGAAAAAAAAAAAAAAAGCCCCAATCCTACTAAAAGCCTCTGTGGAGAGGAGAAAAGAGGAGGCATTTCAGTTTTCTCCTCCTCCTCCTGCCCTGTGCGCCTCCGGCTGTGAGAAACTGCTTGACACACTGCTTATCAACAGCTGAGCCATTCCTCTCTCCACCACTACAGCGGGGAAGTCCGGTGTGTGCTACAGTGTTGACACAGTGGCGCTGGTGTTAAAGCGTTATTACTGAGGAACATATTGCAAAGGAGATAATTATGCAACATTTTGCCTTTGGAAAAAAAAAAAAAAATGACAGAAACCTGGAGACACAAAGCTGAGACATCAAAATAACATTTCCAGCTCACTGCAACGTGACACAGCTGCGTGAATAGAGCCGACAATCATTACAAACCCCTTTTACCAAAGCAAGTCACTGATGTCCTCATGAAAGTTACATTTTTCTCCCGGCCACACAAAGTGCTTTGTCAGTGAACAATGCAAAAAAAAAAAAAAACCCATCTAGGATTATTAATTCTTCAATTTAGGGAGAAAAGCGGGGGCTGGAGCGAGCAGAGGAGAAATAAACGGCCGTGATAGTGGAGTCTGCCCTGTTGAATCACGTCAGTGTTCACTTTAAAGACACAACACACGCAAAGAGTCTCATAACGGGTAAACTGTGTAACGTTCCCCCCTGAGTTAGTTGTATAAAACTGGATTAAACAGTAGAGACCGTGACTTCCTCTGAGGTCAAAGACAATAGAAGAGCATATGATTTAGATTATTCATGTTTGAGAAAGGAAACTGACCAACGCACATCCAAACAGCTGGGCCTCATTGTCTTCTCCTTCTCTTTCCCTCCTCTTTCCTTTCTCTCTCTCCCTTCTCTACAAACTTCAAAACTACATCATGATTGTTTTCTTTCATCCTGTCTGCTCTGCCCTCCTGAGTGCCCCAACTCCAGACACACACGTTTTCAAATGCAGCCTGGCATTTGATTATCAGATGGACGAGGGGGGGGGATTACAGCTGATAATGTCAGATTGTTAAACGCAAGACACACACACACACAAAAAATGCATCTGATAGTTTTTGCCTAAACTTTTGGATTGTGCCGTTCAAATCAATATCTTGTCCTTCGACTTCAACAAAACTTTAAGGGAATAAAACACAAATATCTCCCAGCAAATCACCAGTTTAACCAGTAGGAATAATTATTGAGCCATTTGACTCAGTCTTTCCATTCAGTCTTCGCTGTGATGCCCTTTTGTTTGTCTGTATTTCACCATTGTGCGAGTGAGACTGAAAACTTGGGATGTGGTAACTGAGAGGTCATGTGCAGCTCACGTGCCCTTGAGCAACACATTAAACCCAGTAATTGCTCTGAAGAAGCCTTTTGAAAAAAGGCTGATACTAAAAGTCTGCTGTCGTAGCGGGCAGCATCCACAATGTGCTGTCTAATGGCGTGAAAGTGAAAAAGGACGGCGCTGAAAAGAGAGCTCGCCGCTCTCTTAATAAATAATTATCTCACAAAAAGGAAGCCACAGTTAATGGTCTGCGATTTGCAGAAAGCTTGTACCTACAATTAAAATTTCTTTTGCGACTGACCTGTTGCGGTCAAAATGTGGAAAACGTTTGTACAAGTTGGGATGGAGCCAAACCGCTGGCAGTGAATTATAATAGTATGTAAAAATCTGTGTGCTCCAACAGGAAATTACTTATTTGAGATACAAATGCTTTTGTGGCATACTAATGAAAATGTCAACACAAATCACCATTCAGCCAGAATAATAACACACCATGGAGTCTTATTGGTCAAAGAGAAAGTGGTTTTAAGGCTTCACTCTTATGACATGACTCCCCCCCCCCCCCACCCTCTCTGTCTCCTATTTGCCCACCCTTCTCTCCCCCCACCCCTCCCTCGTCTTACTTGCAGTCCAGCCTCTCGATCTCAAAGTGAGGGTTGAAGTTGAGGACGATGCGCTGCGAGGGCTCTGGCGCCGTGATGATCCAGTGGCAGTTCTGGTGAGGTGGGTACTCCAGAGGGTAGCCGGGGGAGGTGATGTACCCCGCCTCGCTGGCATCGAAGACGCCGCCGCACTCTGACGCTGTGGTGGAGGAAGAGAAGGGTGAGAGGGAGCAGTTATTGATTGTAGCATGGAGAAAAAAACAGAGACAATTCGACAAATTGAGCAGGTTTTTTTGTAAATTTGAAATATAGTTGTGATGCATCTGTGGGCCCCGAGTCAAACCCAGTCTAACTCCCCAGTAAATGGTACACCCCCTCCCAACAGTGACTCAGAGGACGCTCCTTCATTTACCTTGTTTCTCTGTATGAAGATGTGATGAGCAACAAATGAACAGTAAAACAAAGAAAGCAATTTAGGCCGTCAGTTACGAGGAAATTGGAAAAACTTCTCCATTGTGGATTCTCAATGCGAGCGGGAACACATGGGTAAGCTATTAAAACAATAAAAGATCATCACTGCTGTGTTTGGCGAGCACGCACATGCACACGCACACACACACACACATACATACACACACACACACACACACACACAGAAAAACAGAGAGCCTTTTTCACCCTCTTCCACACCCAGGCTCTTATCTCTCTACTTCCCCATTGGGAGCGCTCTCCAAGTGTAATTGTTGCTCCGGCAAGCCAATCTGCAAACATTAAGACACATTCCCTGATCCTATCACGCTCTCCCAGGAACAATAGCCTGCCAATGGCATTGCTCGGACAGCTTAGACAGGAAGTGACACACAGACGGCCTGTCTAGTGGGGTTCTGGGCTTTGGGTGGGGGGGTGGAGGGTCACCCCGACTCTGTAATGAGAAACTAACGCGGCAACAAAGGCTGTATTCTCTGCTTGCGGCCTGACAGCTACAGCAGCTCGCTCGCTTTGCGTTATCTCCCATAAACACGCTAAACACATAAACTCACCAGCACATACAAAAGGAACATGTATATGAGTATTCTGCATCAACACACACACACACACACACACACACACACACACACACACACACACACACACACACACACACACACACACACACACACACACACACACACACACCCAGTGGGATATCACACATTGCGCACAATGGCTCTTTTATTACTCTTCCGCTGCAATAGATTTGCAGGCATTATTATTCTTTATGGAGAGGCAAAGTCAAAACGTGTTCTCCATGACAACAGCGGGGGGGTGGTGGTTTAGCACTCCTACCTAACACTGTACATGTGCATGTGAGTGCGCGTGGTGGCTGATGCACCAGTGGGATCTCTAAATGTAATGAACTGTGCGATATTGAACTCAAATGTTTTTCTTAATATTGGAGCTGAACCGTACAGAAGACGGAAAGCGGGGCGATGGCAGGCAACAGACTAAAGCTCATGGTATACTGTCATTAACAATGCACTACCAAACGGTGGGCTTAACCACTCACCCGCTGGGCTGGATCTGTTCCTGACATAAATGGGTTGATATTCTTGCCTGTTTCTTTCAAATTTCTGTGAAAGCATCAATAAAGGAAGCGGAAAGAGGAGAAAAAAAACAGCACCAAAGGCTTGAAGTGTAATAGACCCTTCAAGTGTTGACATTTCCACCGCCTATTGTGCTTAAAAGGCACACTTAAGATTCTCTGACATTTGATAGAGCTACGATGGCTTCCTTACTTTGTTACTGGAGAGGAGCAACGCCCACACTCACACACAGGGCGCTCACACACACACACACACACACACACACACACACACACAGCTGCCGGTGATTTCACGCGGGTGCACGACTCCAGCCGCCCACGTGCAAATGCACAGCTACACAAATGTACAACCGGCGCGGGCGTGCACGCAAGTTCAGAGATACATGTGTGCACACGCTTGAACACACACCCACGCATTTATGCACTTACACACACACACACACACACAGAGGAGCTGCTCCATGTTCAAACGGCCACCCACGCATGCACACATCCAAATACATACAGAGGGCCTGTCAATCACAGGAGGTGGAAAAAATAGCTCACTGAAAAATTTCAAAAAAGATAGCAGGGATGGCAAAGAATGACAGACAGAAAGCAAGCCACACACACACACACACACACACACACACACACACACACACGCACGCATGCACACACGCACAGACATCTCTTTATCTGTTGCGGCTGTGCAGACAGACAGTCATTGTTGGGAAACCTATGGAGGGAATGGCGTGCAGGAGGCTATCAGCACGCAGAGCCTCAGCAGATTAAGCCGTTTGGGGAGAATCCTGCAGCCTCGACACTTTTTTCCCTGAGCTGCCCATTCAGTGGCCTCCAAGGAGGATGAAGAGGAGGGGGTGGAGGGAGAGGAGAGAAGGAGTGGGAAGTGAAGGGAAGGGTGGGGAAAGGATTAAAGTGGGAAGAAAAAATGGAAGAGGTGAAGGAAGAGAGGAGGAGAGGAAGGAAGTGGAGAGGAAGAGGAGATGAGGAAGGGTGGGCTGAAAAAAGGGGGAGAGACAGTGAGGCGATGGATAAAACATGGATTAAGGAAGAAAGGGGAAGATTGATCGGAAGGGGAGGAGGGTGAATGCGCTGGGTGGGGTTGATGTATGATGGGCGGGTGAGAGGACATATGTGGGTAGACTGAGAGGGAGAGGGAGGACGAGTGACAGGCAGAGAGAGAGAGAGAGAGGGAGGCGACAAGAGGTGATGAGGAAGGAGAAATACAGAGGGTGAGAGAAAGATGCAGTGACTGAGGGAAGAGATGGAGCGAAGGGACTCTGTGTGTGTGTTTGTGTGTGTGTGTGTGTGTGTGTGTGTGTGTGTGCGTGTGTTTGTGTGATGCGCAGAGAGCCTGACGAGCCTCATTAAGACATGCCTGCTATCCAGCGGCTCCCTGTAGACACTGACCCCACTGGGAAACCTCTGTCAGTCAGCACACTCACACACACACTGGCAGAGTGTGTGTGTGTGTGTGTGTGTGCGGGAGTGTTCGTTTCTGCTGCAGAGAAAATATAAAGAATAATGGTGATGCAACAGGGATTTATCTGCAATAAATGAACCGCTGTGAGAAGATTTCTTGATTATAGTGACAGATGTGTGTGTTTCTTTCTAATTGCTCAGATGTCCATGGCAATTATTTAGTGCAAACTGTATGTATGTGTGTGTGTGTGTGTGATTGTGTTTCACTGTCAAGCATAATGTTATGGTGAGAACAGAACTTGTGGTATTGGATGAGTAACACAGGGGAAGCACTCAGGAGCTGCCAGTGAGCTTCATGAATTACACTGTCCCTTCTACTAGAGGAGCCCATCTGTCTACACACACACACACACACACACACACACACACACACACACACACACACACACACACACACACACACACACACACACACACACAAAGTGCCACATATGTTCCTACCATGCAAGGGCCCAAAACCCTATTACATGAGAACAATGTCACTACTATGTGTGTGTGTAGACTGTATGTAAGAGTGAGTGTGTTTTTCTTTGTTATTCTGGGTGTTGTGCGGGTGAACCTGAAATGCAGCAGAAATAGTTTCAATGTGTGTGTGTGTGTGTGTGTGTGTCTCTACATGGCAGCCACGCCATTTGTTTTTTCATGCCAGTGAATGTGAAATAAAGTCAGTCTCTGCGTGTGTGTCTGCGTGCACATCCTTCCAGTCACTCCGGATCAAGCTGAGCCCAGAGACGTTTTTGTGCCCGCTGTGAATGCCTTTATCTTCATTATCTGAGAAAATGTGCATATGTCTGCATGTCTTAGCTCACATTCTGTGGTGTGTGTGTGCGTGTGTGTGCACGTGCACGCCCGCGCTCTCATTTCTATTAGTCGCCTTATCTGGGAAGTATGGCGTCACGCTCTGGGATAAGCTGCGAGTGTGAGGAGAGGCGCTGATAAATCCCTCCATCATTCCTAGTGTCTCTTGCCCCTCCCTCCCTCGCTCGCTCCCTCCTTCATTCCACCCTCCCTCCCTCCACCCCACCTTAATTAAAAAGTGCTATCGCCCAGAGTGAGGGAATGAGAGGGGAGAGTGGGCAGCGCTCATCCATTCAGTCAAGAGCAGGGGTTGTCTCCGCGCCTTGCTTTTAATCTCACCCATTCCACACTAGACTGGACCCAAGGAGAGGGCGAGGGTGAGGAGGAAGGGTGAAGAAAGGAGGGGATTCACTTTCATCGCCCTGTGCTTTAACACCTTTATGCTGAGACAGAGTGACAGTGCTTTGGGAAAAAGGTAATAGTGGTAGAAGTGAGTGTGTGAGAGTTTAAAATTCACACCCTCGCTGATACAGTTAATTATAATTAATATGCTGATTTCAAAGCATTCTGGGAGTCATTTTGTCACTTTCCATACTTGTTGCATATCTGAATGATATTCTGGTGCTATTTTAACAGTAGGCTAATATGTAAAATAATTCTAAGTGCTAAGTTCATTATACTAATGCCATGAAATCACATTTGGTTTTCATTAAAAGAGGCTTCATACCTCATGATAAATATTATATGTGGATCATTATTACGAGGAGCACAGTCCTTTGGGGTCTTATCTTTGAAAAAAAAAGAGTACAGATTTAATTGTAAGGTGCAGAGGAGAGTGGAGATTTTCCTGCAGACTGAGAGGTGAAAAACGAGGCGAATAAAAGTCCACCGTGCGCTGGAAGTGAAAGCAAGCTAGACACCAACACTTTTATCACCTCCTTTTCTTCTCTTATCTGAAATACAGCAGCTGGAAAGTAAGAAAACACCACTCAGGGATAGTTTAATGAGGAAAAAGCTGGAGCTATAAAAGCTAACTCCTTGCTCATGGGCTAAAAAGTGTCTAATTTGGCATGTTGCGCTATAGGTGAAGAAATGAGCACAGTTCCTGTATTTTCTATGATGGATTTCCTGTTTTATGATGAGCGACAGGACGCCCTTCGACTCAGGTGGAGTCGACATATTCTGCAGCCAGTTATCCACTAGAGGGAACAGACACCTGACCAAAAGACACAGCAGCAAAACAACAATCAGCCAAGAAACGCAACAGCTTTTTTGTTAAAGTGCTAAATGTGTTTAAGGGAGGGATTTCTTCTAACAAAAGCCACATCAAAGGCAGATAATATCCCAGAAATCCTCTTTTCCTCTCCGCCTGTCTCCCTTTCTTTCTCCCTTTCTTCTCCTCCCTCCCTAACAGGATAAGTGCCCCATGCTAATCAGCTAAATGCACAATGCTGGCCATCCTGATCAATGGTTCAATGGATCAATCGGGGTAAACAGATGGTTGCTGGTGCCTACAGGGGGAGGTAATGGCGGGGGCCTAATCCTAAACACTACCTGACTACAGTATCGCGTCTCCGTCTCCCTCGGTGCTCTCTTTTGTCTCGGTGCGGCACCGTCAAACCTGCACCGCCAAAGCACTTTTCACTAAAGATTCCCCCTCTGAGGAGTGGAAGGAGAGGAGCCCACATCAGCAAGGGAGAGCTGTGAAGAATTGAGCTTTGCTGCAGGAGTCTTGGTGATTTGTTGCCGCTTTCTACACCCCCTCTCCCACCCACCCACCCACCTTACACACTGTTACCTTTTAGTGGAACCGACTGCTTAAAAAAAAAAGAATTGTTCTTTCAAAAGCTGCTTTTCTTTAAATTCACACCATAAACTGTTTCCTCTTGTCCCCGCTCCTCTTTAACCCTGCTTGTGAATTACAGTAAATTTCAAATGCTTTCCCTCTTGACAATACCTCTCTACAATACCCCCCCTCCCAGCTCCCACCTAAGCCCGTCCCTGAGCACCCGTTAAGACCCCCCTGTGCGGCTAATGCGGCAGAATGAAAGACCCAGCTCTGTTTTATTTATGGGGGTCTTGTTTTTAATTTCACCCCGAGTGCGGCGGGCTGTTCCAGGGCTTTGCGTGAGCCTGTGACTCTCATACCTGACTGGTATTGAACGGCCCACTCAGTTTGTCTTTGGCTATGAATGCTAATAGGTGACCTTGTTTTCGCAGCTGATACCTCTGAGGCTGGGGGCAGATTAAAACACCGAGAAATGCAAAGAATAGAAGAGCAGGGTGTGGAGGAGAAGGGGAGAAGAGGGGGAGAGGGAAGGCAAAGGCGCAAGAGAGAGAAAAAACAAACAGAGAAGGGCAGAAAAAGACCAAACGAGAAGATAAAATGAGGAAGCGTTCACTGAGGAGCTAACATTTGGAAAAGAAATTATTAAATGAATAGAAAATCCAACTCTGGAAGAAGTTGATACCAAAAAGTGGAGAGGATACAAAGCCACCCACTCAATAAACATGCAAATGAGCTGCTTAATGGCCTGAATATTAATGCTTGTGGTAATTAATGTACATGTCACTGAGTCAAACTATTGTGATTACAGTACAAATGGAGTGGAAGTCTCTCGGCTTTCGGATATAAAGATTGCGGCGAGGAGGTACCGAGACACGAAAAGGGGCTTTTTCTCTATTCCACGTGAAGGGTGCCACCAGCAGAGAACAGCAGGCCACAACTGCAAATGTCCAGAGCACCGAACATCTTTCATGGATCATTTACCCAGAGACCATGTGAGATTTTTATGCTTACAGAGGTTTCTGGCTGAGAGGCCTCAGGCATGCATCAGTGTGTTCAAAAACATTATATTTTCAGGAAAACCTTTTTTACTGCGGCTGGAAACGGACCAAGTTGCTAAACCCAGACGGGGTCTATCATCAAAAGCAGGAAGTGTCTGGCAAGGAAGGGAAAAAAAAAAACCTTTAATGTGACTATTGTGCCTAACTTTCACGAGAGCATCAGTTTGTAACAGCGTCTGATTTTTTCAAACGGTAGAGACGCTTCGCTTCTTTTATTTCCATCCTCCCTGCAGAGGCTTCACCCCCTCTTTAGCTGGACGAGCCTGTCACTTCATAAACCCTCAATGCCGTCTGTCCCCTCACCGTCCAGTGCCATTTTAACTCCTGACCCCTGCACGCTTTGATGTTGCCCTTTCTTCTTACACTCTGTTTGATGCATAACCCCCCCACCCCCCCACCCCCAGTCTCTCCTCCAAGGCTTGTTCACTTCTGTTTCCCCCCATGTCATGGCCTGGTGGCTGCCACGCTCACTTCTCTTTTTCACTTTTCTGCGCCTTGGGTACAATTGCATCTGCCTTCCACTCTCCTCTGCAGTCACTGTCTCTCTGTCCCCCTCACATCTCTCTCTTTCTCTCTCTCTCTCTGCTGCACCCTCTTCCTCCCCCCTGACTCTCTGAACCTCCCTGTTCTGTCTCCGTTCTGTTCTCTTTCAGTCTCTCTTCCCTCTGGCATCTGTGTGTAATGTGGCTCTTGAGGGGGAGCATGGAGGCAGAGACATGGGGTGCAGAGTCTTGGCAGGGGCGAGAGAGAGAGAGAGAGAGAGAGGGAGAGAGATAGAGATAGACAGAGAGAGAGAGAGGAGGGGGGGATCTAGCTTCTTGCTGGCCTGATGGCTGCCAAGAGGCCCACATCTGTCTCTGATCAGCGGGTACACAGGCAGCCAGTAAAACACACACACACACACACACACACACACACACACACACACACACACACACACACACACACACACACACACACACCCTCATTCAGAGGGATGACTGTCCTATTTAAAACAAGTAGCCGAAACAAGAGGAAGAGCCCGGGAGCTGCAGCACTCGAGCCAAATGTAAACTGCTCTACAGATAAGAATAAAAAGTACAATAGATCTACTAAAACACAAACATGTCATCAGGCAAGATGCGTAAAGAGGCATGATTACGTACCACAGAAACGTGCATGTCATGTTTCCCTTTACGCACGAAGAAAAAAAAAGCGCACATCCACATATAATATAACACTGTGACAGCCGGAGTCAAAGCATCGTAAAAGCATCAGGAATAGCAGAGTGGGAGCCTTACAAGGGTGAGTGAGCGTGAGGCCATGTGTCATCCCACCAGTGGCGTCACTTCTCGGCGTGGTAAGCCCCTGCATAACAACCCTCTCCCACCAACACCTCCACCCCTCGACATCTCTCGTGACACAATTAAGCAACAGCTAATGACTGACATCTTATTATTATTATGTGATCATTTCTATGCAGGTGACCAGACGGAACACTGTGCGCTCCCGGTGTTAAATCCACATTTAACTGGGCTTCTAAATAAATCTGGGCGCTGTTTCATGCTCGAGCTTTGCTCTCCAATGTGGGCTCGTTCGCCACTGTGCCATTTCCGTGCTTTACAGCAGGAATTCGCCTTGTTTAAGTGCCTTAAAGCAAGGCTCCGAGCCCCTCCAGCTGCAGGGCTGCTATTCTTTGGCTCATCCTGCTCCATAATCTCCCCCTGCTTATTGTTATTTGATTGCTGAGAGCGCGCGGAGGTGACGGTGCGCCGCCGCCTGGAGCTGCCGGCGCTCAGCCACCAGCAGCCCTGCCTTCAGCCCTGCACACACCACCCCGAGGAGCACGAGGAGATAATGAAGGAGAGAGTCTCGCGGTGGCTGATGAGGATAATGATTATAATAGTGATGATTACAGTCCTAGCAGTCAGATCTTACAATGATAGAGTAGCTTTTACGCACGGTTTCTTGGACACCAGCGAATTTGTAAAATAGCAGGTTATAGCCCAGCCTACGCCTAAAACCTGTTTTCATCCCGATGTGAACTCGCATTTTAATCAGCGCGGGTTTGTTTATTTCCCTTGATGAATAATTAAATCAAAAGAAAAACAACGGTGTAAACAATGCGTTTGAATTTTCAAAAAGCTTCATGCATATAATCAGCTCATTCACAGTCCACTGAGCTGATAGTCAGATCGGTCCTGGACCCAGTCAGGCTGGGACAGATAACTGTTTCCGATCTGCTGAATATTTGATGAAAGCATCCAAGTTCTTTAGTTTTTGATGTGTCACAACTAGCACGGCACAGCACTCCATTAATCAGGGATTTAAATTTGAATAAGTCATCATGATTTCCTATGGTTTTCCACACATTAGGGCCTATTTATACAGATGTTTAACCTTTGCCTTCATCGCTTTCTCCCATATTTACCACATTTAGGGGGAAAAACATCCAAGGGACACATGGATCTGCTTATCACACAATCGCGTTGTCATGCGTATTTGAAATAATCTGAAACGTATGAGCAGGAGTTCTTGTTCATGTGAGGTGATTGTATCCCAGTAGATGAGACAAAATGCAATGTTTAGACTACACTAGTGCTTCTGTGGCGTAGAATGTTTCTTTTCCCTTTTATGGGTTTTGGTTGAGACCATGCGTGCGTCAAAATCAAAGACGAAACTACAACTCACCCTCTTCTCCTCTGACTCTCAGCGCCACATGACACATTGCCATTAAAAATCCAATCAACGATGGCGCAAAATCCATCTTGGATGCTTCAGAAAGTCGTGGACGGCTTTTTAAGTTTCTAATTTTTCCACCTTGTGTGATAGAAATTCTGCTGTTCCTCTAAAAAAAAAAAAAAAAAGAAGAAAGAAAGAAAAATCCACACAGGCCACAGTCAAAACTGAACTTCAGTGATAATCCCACGGCGTTTATTAAACCATTGGAGGAGAAAACTGTGACAACTACATGTCATTGAAGAAATTCAGTTTTTTTTTAAATTTACGCAGCCTTTTGCCTTTACAGTCTGTCCATTCAGCGGAGCGATGCCACTCAAGCTCATCCAAAAAAAAAAAATAGTGAACAGACAAACTCCTGGATCAAAACTGCGCGTGTTCCGCAGCTGAGCGGCTCCGGAGCTTCTGGACAGCGGCTCCAGGGTGCGTCAAGTTCCGATAGAGCGGCTCCCAGTCCCCGTATCCCCGTCTTTGCGTCCCCGCGTATTTTGCGCACACGAGGGATCTCTTCTTCTCTTGAAGTGGGGTGGGGGGTCGGAGGGTGGTTTGTAGTGGCGAGCTGAAGTCTACAGTAACAGCTCTCAAAGCCCTGGACGCCTCAGTCCGAGTGTCCGAAGCTGCTTTTTAACCGCGCCGCAGAAAGTCACAGAGTGAGAAATACGAAGTGTTGCGCTCTTGCGTCCCAAAATGAAAAAACAAACACCGGTCATGTCACGCCACCTCCTGCGGCACCGCTCCTCTCTCTCTCTCTGCCAGCGGCTCCGTGCTGCCTGCGCTCCGCTCCGCTCCGCTCCGACACCGGCGTGTGCTCCGTGTGCGCGACTGGTGAGGTGTGTGTGGAGTGCGTGTGTGAGTGATCGCGCTTTTGAGCTGAGCAAGCTATCGCGTTACAGTCACAGCGCCTCAGCTCCGCCCCCTCCCGTCGGTCGCTGATTATAGGGAGTGGGGGAGAGAGAGAGAGAGTAAGGGCGCACGGGCACGCGCCCCAGTCTCTCTCTCTCTTTCTGTCCTGCTCTATCTCTCTCTCTCTCTCTCTCTCTCTCTCTCACACACACACACACACATAAAGGACGCATCCCTCCTTTCAGAAGATACCACAGATATGAACTCTTCCACAGCTCAGGCCGAGATAAGACTTATATTATAATGGCAAACCAGACAGAACTTCTCCCAGGGCTGTTTTCAAAGGAACAGAGAGGAGGGATGAGGAGCAGAAAATCCCAGAAAGAGTGAAAGGGAGAGGAGAGGAGAGGAGTGTCTGACTAGGGGGAGGGAGGAGGAGGGAGGGTGGTTACACAGCAAAATGGCACACGGCCTGGCTTTCACCACAAACACACATGAAACAACCAAGCCAATGTCAAAGCCCTCAACTCAATAGAGGGAGAGCCCACCTCAGCCCTGCCCAATCTCTGCCCTGCAATCAACAGGCCTAAATACAGAGCGGGAGGCCGAGTAATGACACAGTAGAGAGCCTAAAATAATCTGCTGAGAAAGGCCTCTGCAGCGTCCGGCCCATGTGCCCTGCCTATGTCTTGTATTACCAGTGTAATGTAATGGACTGGCTGAGGCCTGGCTGTATAATGAGGTACAGTATGTAGCCTCGCTGGCTTCTTTATTTGGAACAGCTAGGTGCATTCCTAAAGGTCAGGACACATGGGAAACGTTTTGAGGCGATGTAACATACTGTACGCCTTCACCCCCCCCCCTCGCAGGTGGAGGTGCAGCTGAATTTAATGTGTGGGTGTCGGTGCCTTGTAGAACAGACACAGCAGCTACTATCCTGCCTTATTCTCCCGGGATCACGGCAGTCGAGAGTTGTAAACAGCGTCAACAAAAGACCGCCGTGCCCTTGACAGAAGGTTGTATGACAGGTCTGTGTGTCACCGCTTGACTGTCTGTCTGTCTGTCTGTCTGTCACCTCCGTCAACTGTCAGCCTCTGCTGCTTTGCAGCCCCCCCCCCAAGGTTGACTAGATGCCATCAACTTGCAGCATTCTTGCAGGCTGTCAGTCTTTTTTCTTTAAGCCCACCTCTAGCCCGAGGGTGCGGCGGCGGCTGTCAGACGTGACTGTGATTGGCTAATCTGAGCCTCTGGGTGGGGGTCCTCACTGGCATAAAGCAGTTTGCCATGTGCTATATTATGGAGATGCTACGCCAAAGAGATTTCTCTCGTGTGTTACGTGTGCGTGTGTGTGTGTTCATCGACGAGGAAGCATTGATTAAACGCCCTTTAATGAGCACTGGGTGATCTTTGCTTAACCCCCGTAATGACCCTTTCACCCACATAAAGAGAGGTAAAGAGAGAGAGCCAGTATAAAACCTTCAAGCAACACTAAGTCCCTTTCTGTTCTGCCCCCCCCCCCCCTCACTGTCCCCGGGGGTCATTTGATACTCCTCTCTCCCATTTGTCAACATCTCTGCCCCACCATCAGCTTTCAACCCCCAAAATATTGGGTCAACACATGGCTAATGGAGGGCAACAGTCCACAAGAGAACCTGAGAGAGAGATAGAGACGCAGAGGGAATGCTGTGGGCGGACTGTGTATTTGTCTGCAGCCTCCATATATATATATATACACAAACACATCCTGCCTGTATATGTTTGGCATTCTTGGTAAGATGCAGGTTTTAAATGCTGCAGAGATCATAGCATTTTTTTTTTCTAGTATTTTCTAATAAGGGAATACGAGTTTCTGTAGGCGACGCACCCTCAGCCATGTTGGCCGCGTCTTTTCATGCTATTTGTTCAAAAGAAGCCGCAGTAGAGTGAAGCAAAACAGACATTTATTATGGCGCAGTGAGTGAGATATGCTGCAACTGACTTAAAAATGAAACTCATATCCCTGCAAGCATGTTTCACAATATGAGCCCCGGCCTAAAAAAGCCATGGGACTCTGCATGTCTCGGTGTCAGAGGCTGTTTAAGTATCACAGTGGTTGAAATCGAACACTTAACCTGCAGCTGCAATATGTGGAACCCCCCCCCCCGCCCCTGTTTCTTATGTATTTCTCCTCAGGTCTCACCATCTGTATTCCCTCTGTCATCTCCCTGCCCCCAAAAATACAGTCGACAAATGGCTGCCATACAGTCCGACTCCTCACCCCGGCACACCTGCGCTGTGTTCACTCAAGGGTGGTGGAGGGGAACACAACAGGGTCTTTCTCCCCCGTTATGTATGTGTATGTGTGTGTGTGTGAGTGTGTGTGTGTGTGTGGGAGAGACAGAGAGAGAGAGAGATAGATACCGACGACTGCCACACTACCTCTCTTATCACAACCGGCCCCAGAGAATGACAGCATGACTGATAACTCTCCCTCTCTTTCTCTCCCCCTGTCTGTCATACACAAACACACACCTCTCTACCTCTCCTGCTCTCTCAACATCTCTCTCCCTCTCTCTCTCTCTCTCTCTCTCTCTCTCTCTCTCTCATCAGTGTGTTTCGCCAGTCAGCCGGCTGTGGGTTCAAGGAGGAAACTGTGTGAACGGTTAGTAGTCCTTCTGAGAGGCTGAGTGATCCCGGTCCACACCTTCAGCTTTCTTCTCTTCATCACTGACAGACACGGCTTTAGATCTAACAGTGGGGGGAGATAAGCTAGAGATAGCCTCGACTTGACCCTATCAGCATCTCGAGTGCGTGTCTGTGTGTGTGTGGGGGGGTGGGCTGAGGGCATTGTAAGCGGAGGGCCAAGGAGGGAGTTTTGCGAACCCCTTTGGTATTCATTGACACCTCAACTAGCAATAGCAGAGCTTTCCAACCACTTTTAAAGATGGTAAACACCTAACAACATGATAAGAACCGCTGTGTGTAAACATATACACACATACCACTGCACCGGTTGGACGGAGGAGCTCCTTCAAGGCCTATCCAAGCTCCGCCACCGCTGCATCTTTAATCCTCAAAAATGTTCTGTTTGTTGTATTTTTATCCTCACACACTGTTCTTTGCTGCTGCAGTGACCCAATTTCCCCTTGGGATCATTAAAGTTTCATCTGATCTTTATCTTATAAGAACATCTGCACACACACACACACACACACACACACACACACACACACACACACACACACACACACACACACACACACAAAACACACACCCTCATCTGCCCTGTGATTTTTCCACACATTCCCACATCATTTTCCTCCAGTGAGAGGGATCTGCCTTCTTTTTTCACCAGGAGGCACAAATCACACATCTCTCACGTCTTCTGACTACTGACTGCCACCGTCGAGATTCCTGATGGGCCACCCAGCGCTACGGGCATGCCCTGGCCAGGGTAATAATTACACACACAGACTTCAACCTACTGTGCTGCATGCACTAATCCTGGCTCTGCTGCGCCGCACTGGCTGGTTGGATTGTGGTGAAACATCTGGTGTCTGTCTGCTGCCTTAACACTCCTCCTTCCTCTGTGTCTATGTCTGTGGATCTGTATGTTGCTACCTTCAGTCATCAAAACACTCTCAGCTGCAGTGCTAAAAAAAAAAAAGAAAAAAAAGAAGAAGCCACACAGAGAGGAAGCCTCAAAGTAGAGCTGTGCAGAAATGCAGAGTTCTGATTTAAGGGAAACAGATTTCATGATCTCGCTCCGCAGGTTTTTGTCCATCGGCTCTCACATACTTAATCTGACATTTTGCACTTGCTAAGATCAGTTTGTCACCGACTGAGGCGAGAGAGATGACAAAGCGCTGACTGGAGTCTGGAGTTATATCCACTGACTACTAAAAAAAAAGCTGATTTCAGTGCAGGGGTGATTCACATGCAGTTCACAGCTGAGCCTAATGGGGGCAGGCAACTGCACCAAGCCGAGGTGAGGCGTACCAGGCTCCAGGCAATCTCTGGGTACACGTTATGAACATAAACAAACTTGATGTTAGATGATGCATACATTAAAATGATTAAGATATTAGATCAACATGCTCACAGGACAGATATCCAGACAGATCTAATTGGCTTAATCGTGGCATATAAAGCATCTTAGAGTGCAGCGTGTTAAAATATGGGAGAATTTATTAAGTAAGTCACAGTGGATGATCAGCATTTGCCAAATGCCGCCCCCCCCTCTT